GGCTTTCTCTCTCCTGATAAACTCTCTTTGCTGGAAAAACTCCTTCCTGAAAGGAAGGAAGTAGAAGAGACTGATGAAATGGATCAGGTAGAACTGGTGGACTTTGATCCGAACCAGGAAAGACGGCGGCATTATAATGGAGAAGCATATGAGGACGATGAACATCACCCCAGAGGTGGCGTTCAGTGTCAGACCTCTTAATGGGCCAGTTACTCTGTCATTCTATATGCAGTAGTGAATGTGGGAAGGACTGTAATCATAATATGCTCACTACTTGGCTATTGTTTTTGTTTTAATATTCAACTATAGTAGTGTTTTAAAAGTTAAATGAAGAATAAACACAAATATAAAAGCTCTGACTTTGCCCTGTATGTATGATGACTTCAATGTGCAAGATGAAGTTTAATACTTGTAAAAAAAAAAAAAAAAAAAAACTACTTTAAAAAGTTCCCTAGCATCTGTTAGGTCATATCTTGTGTAACTGATAATAGCTGTGTACATTAGACTGACAAGCTAGGTATGTGTTATATGACCCTTAATTGTTAAGCTGTGGAATTAAAATTCTGTATTTAATGGTAATCAGAAAAAGAAAACAATTAGTAGTGACATGTTGGTCTGTCTAGTTGTATGAAGTGGACTAATTGTGATGCCTTTGCATTGTATTGCCTCAGCCATTACTAGAAGGTGGCATAATACATAATTCCGCCTGTTGTTAGTGATAGAAATGATACATTCCTAAAGAAGTTTATCGTAAGCTACTGCTTAAGGGCTTGCTCTTCTAGATTGCAGTCCCTTCTGCTGTGCCATCTTTTAAAAGTATATATACATATATACATACACACAGTTAGAAAACATGGTCACCTTCCCTTTTCAACCATGATAAGCCCTTGGGCAGTGACTTCCAAAGCCCAAGTAATTTACAAATTGAAGTGAAGAGACCTTGTATGTGAAGAAGTGATTTGCATGTATAATCCAGGAAAGGCGTTCCTTGGGTCTGTTACAGGCTTGCTATTTGACTTAGGCTTCTACGTAACTGCAATTTAATGTTGGTAGTATATAGCAAATTATGAATAGCTTTGTTGTATGTTTTAAAGTCACATGTTCACATGCTTAAATCTGGATATCCGAATTTAAGCAGTTAACTGAAATGTATGACTGTCTCCTAATATACTGATTACAAAGTGTTTCCAGTGTGTCACTGCAGGCCTTTTTTCTCAGTTCAAAGCTTTGCTTTTAGGTATAACTTGATTATTACTTTGTTCCTGAAATGTGCACATGATTAATATATATGGGTAGGGAGTAAAACTATAGGTCTAAGCCCAAGTCAGAAAAGAACACCACCACCACCCGGGTAAGAATATGTGAACTTCATGCCAGTACAATCTGTACGTGGGTCTGCCACATCTTTTGTAATCAGGAACTTAAACACATTTCCAATCTGGAAGTCGAATGAGGTTTTCTTCGTGGGGAGAACATTTGAATTAAAAAGCAAAATGCCAGGGGGTGAGAAATAGCCCAATGGTTAGCACTGACTGAAGACCCAAGTTCAGTTCCCAGCACCCACATAGTGGCTCCTATCTGTCTGCAACTGAAGTCCCAGGGGATCGGACACCCACTTCAGGCACCATGCACAGGCATACATGCAAGCAAAACACTATAAAACTCAATTTGGTGAAGTGTGGTGGCACATGCCTTTAGTCCCAGCACTAGGGAGGTAGAGGCAGGCAGATCTTCAAGGCCAGCCTGGTCTGTAGAGTGAGTTCCAGGACAGCAAGGGCTACATACAGAAATCCTGTCAAAAAAACAAAAACATCCAATGGCATAGATTGGTATAGAAAGGTTTCCCAAGTCTTCAGTGTTTCTTTGGTTTTCAGTATTGGCTGTGAATGGAACTGCCCAGGGAACTTAACACTGATCAGGCCTTACCCTGCATGGGTTTGGGTACAACTGGGTTGTATGTAGTGGCCTGAACAGATGATTGTGCAGCTGAGGCTGAAGACTGGGGATAGAATTGTATTAATCACAGGACAGCCAGGCACCACGGTGGCACATGACTGTAGTTCCAGTATTTAGGAGGCCGAGGGCAGGATAAGGCTTGGGATTTGTATTGGGTTCGAATTTGCTGTCAAGCCATATAATCACTGGTGATAGTGTTGTGATTTTAGCAATCCACCACAGTTAAGACTTACAGCAGCTTGGTTACATCTAGCACTAAACAAAACAAGCCAGGGAGGTGACTGAGCTGGTAAAAGCATAATTCTGGTGACCTGAGCTGTGACTTTAGGTGGTGGTGTATGCCTCTAGTCCCAGGGTGGGGGTGGGGAGGCAGGTGGATCGCGAGTTCGGGACAGCCAGAGCTACAGAGAAACCCTGACTCAAAAAACAAACTTGGCAAGTTATATGTCAGGCTTTGCCACTGAGGTAGTGTTTTTTAGACAGGGTCTTACTGGGCTGTCCTGGAACTATGTATGCCAGGCTGAGAAATCTGCCTGCCAAGTACTAGGATTAAAGGCATGCAACACTACATCCGGCTTGCTGTTGAGCATTTTAAACCAGGAAAGCATGCCACCTTGAACATACTGTACTTGAAGCTTTTCACATGTGGGATGCTAACAAGCTGTACAGTACAGGAGTTATTGTACCTTTAGCATTTATTTAGGGGGGGCCTTTGGAAAGAGTAAAAATGAAAACACCTACTTGAATAGATCACATAGAATGCTGTGTACGAATATGCTTGCTGGATGGGTCTCAGTACTAGTTTTCGTAGGACTGGGGTGGGGCCTGAGAAGCTACTGAGAGAGTAAAAAAGGAATGCAGACTGCAGTCTAGCTGCTCTGCCTTCTATTCATTACCATGGCCAGTCACCAGGTAAATGTTGAACAGAAGACTCACAGATGTGAGTCAGCTTGAACCTAAAAGAAAACGGACTGCAAGATTCAGACACAAGCAGTGAAGCAAGAAAACCACACTGAGAATTCCACTGTTGGCATTTCTAAAACATCACCCTGAAATGTCATTCATCATGACTGTCCACTTAAGTAGGGGAGAGAACACATTTATTTCACACCACTGATGGAATTTAATACCAGCATTGTCTGGTGGACCGCACCAAGACGACTGCCTCCCTGGCACCTGACTGAATTTTCATAATGACGTCCCAGGCACTGAGCTTCCATTAGCCCCTACTACAGGGCCCTTAACCTCGGGCTAGGGGTGTTGCAAGGTTAATAATGGTGGTGCCACCAGATGTCAGCAGCTTTTGAGCAGATCCCATCCTGGACCTCCACATGTGAGGAGGTTCTCACCATTTGGCCACGTCAATGAGAAGGGGGTGTCCAGGGTAGACATCAGCCTTAATGCTGCCTCAGCACAGGAGGGCTACTCAGGGAGGGTGATCCCTACCTTCAGCCCTGGAGAGAGCTGACTACGAGGGCCTTAAGAAAGGCCAGTCTTGCAAGTTCCTTCCAAAAGTGGCTGAAGGATGAACAAAGGTGGTGTGCTAGTACTAGTTTTCCAAGTATGGTGGCACATGCCTATAGTCCCAGAATCTAAAAACATTACCAGTTTATCCCTTACTTAGCTTCCTGGTATAGCATGCTGCAGTTCCTGTTGTTTCCAGACAGCCCTAGTTGATCTGAAAACGGATTATGCCTCCACCTTTTGAGTACAGGGATTATAGCATATTCCCAGCTTGTCAAATTCTTACCTTTTTTTTCTCCCCTTTGAGGCAGACAAGGTCTCCCTATACAGCCTCCCAGATTGACCTTAAACTTCGCTTTTTTGGGGGGTGGGAGTTCAAGACAGGGTTTCTCTGTATAGCAGCCCTGACTTTCCTGGACTCAACTTGTAGACCAGGCTTGACACATAGAGCTAACTAGAATCTCTAGTCCTGCCTCCACCTCCCAACTCCTGGGATTAGAGGCATGCAAGTGTATGTGGCACTGGGGAATCAAAAGACATGCATGCCAAGCAAGCATTCTACCAATGGAGCTCCAGCCTTAGCCCCAAATGTAAAACTTAGTAATGACTTTATCAATGGAAAGCCTAGGAGAAGGCCTCACTTTCTTGAACAGCCTAGCATCATCATCTTCATACATTATAAATGCTCTCTCCATCTTTGGTTGAAATGTCAAGGACATCAACATGGAATCCATTTTTAGGAGTTTTGTTTACTGTGAAATATTTTTCTTCAGCTAAATGATAAGTATACACATTTCAAGAGACTTAAATCTCAGGTCCTTTTCTAATTTCTCTTCTCAACAGTACATTTCAGTGCCAAATCCTCCTCCAGAGAAGAATGATGCCAAACTTCAAACCCCAGTAGCCACTGTGTGGCTAGTTCCAACCCGAATATGAGAGCTACATTCCCTCAAGTGGGTGTGAACACAAAAGGCAGAGCTCAGAAAGAGGTTAACAACAGAACGTGATTGTGTCACCAGGCCTTGTTCATGTTAGTCTCTCTTACACTATCCCAGGAACTGAATATCAGACTTGAGGTTCAAGAATAATGACTCTCCCTCTCCCTATGAGCACTTGTGGTAAAGTCTTCAGAAAGGTATTAAGTTTATTAAAATCCTTTTTAAAAAACCCAGCTACTGAATATGGCATAGTGACTTATTTACACATTTTATGCTAGGACACAGGTTTTAATAAGCATTTCAAATATGTTTTTCTTCTAGAAATAATAGTATTTTAAGTCTTTTGGTAGAAGATTATTGAAAACATTAAATGACTTCCCCAGTTAAAAGCAGATAAACTAAAGCCGTTGAAATGCACTCTAAATGGAAGCCAGGTGGTGGGTGCTCACACCTTTAATCTCAACACTTGAGAGGCAGGTGGATCTCTGTGAGTTCAAGGCCACCCTGGTCTGTAGAGTGAGATCCAGGACAGCCAGGGCTACACAGAGAAACCCTGTCTCAAAGAAAAAGTTTTAAATGATAACTAATGTTTAAACATGAATTTTAGCAAAATTATTCTTGTGACTTATTCAGACGGTGTCTGCTTACAAAGGCAGACATGAAAAAGTAGCACATGGACACTCCTCCACGTAAGCACATGTTCCCTGGCTGCACTGTAAGATGACTTAGGGTTTCCAGAGCTTCAGGAGTCCGTCTTCACTGTAGGTGGCAATCAGGTTCTGATGTGGGTGGTGTGCAATTCCAATCACATCCTTCTCGTGAACCTAGAACATGGAAAGCAGT